CCACCCCCTTCCGCGATGCCATCCACGAGCTCTCCAAGGAGATGGAGGGCAGCGAGAAGCAGCTGGAGCCGGGTAAGATCTGCCTGAGCCAGGCCAACAAGCACTTCGGCATGGCCCTGGGAGCTCTCTTCGTCGAGGAGCACTTCTCCTCTGCCAGCAAAGCCAAGGTAGGTGATGCTGCCTATGGGCAGACAGCCACCGTGATCTCCCATCACCTTGCCAAAGTGCCTGCTGCCCCCACCAAGGGCTGTCTGGCCAGTGATGGATGGTGGAAATGCCGTGCCAGCACCGTGGTGACCCACCATAGGTGCAGCAGCTGGTGGAGGACATCAAATACATCCTCGACCAGCGCCTGGATGAGCTGGACTGGATGGATGAGGAAACACGGAGAGCAGCCAGAGCCAAGGTAGTGGCCCCTAGCATACACTCCTGTCTTTGGCCCCATCACCAGTGTGGGGGCACATGGGGTAGGGGCCTGAACCCACCACTCATTTTGCCCACAGCTCCGCTATATGATGGTGATGATTGGGTACCCCGATTTCCTCCTGAAGCCAGAGGCCATCGACAAGGAGTATGAGGCAAGAGATAACCCGGGAGCATGTGAGGACATGGGCACATGGTGGGGGAAGATAGTCCCCATTTCTGCATCAGGCTCTGTGGAGATGCCACCCCAAAACAAGCTCCTTCCTGGTGCTCACTGCACTTACTGCTGGCAGGGTGCCCCACACCAGCAGTGCCATACAGTCCCTGGGGTCTGGGATGGTGTCTCCTTCTCCACATTGCAGTTCCCAGAGCTCAGCCCCATCCTTGGCAAGGTCTGCTGGTGCTGGGGTGGCTCAGGGATGTCATGGAGCTGACAGAGAAGCAGCTGCCCCTGTGGGCACAGAGCATGGGACATGAGAACACACTTGTGACACATCCACATAGTCACCAAGGCTCACAGGGGTGGGAGGACACCACAGGCGTGCCCTCCACACCCTTGGGGCTAGCATCTTCCCTGATGTGGCTGTGCCCCCCCAGTTTGAGGTGGATGAGAAGACCTACTTCAAGAACATCCTCAACAGCATTGCCTTCAGCATCAGGCTCTCAGTGAAGAAGATCCGGCAGGAGGTGGATAAGTCCGCGTGGGTATCCCCTTGCCCTGGGGGGGACATGGAGGGGCCCAGCATGGTGCCACCAGTGTCCCCTGACCCCATGCCCGGATGCAGCCCACAGGCTGTAGGAAGAAGGGCACAGGGATGCCAGGAGTGCTCCCCTGTCCCTCAGCTGTGCAGAGGGATGGCACTTCCATGTCCCTCGGTGTTGTGCAGCCCAGCACTGCTGTCTCTCCTCGCAGGTGGCTGCTGCCTCCCCAGGCACTGAACGCCTACTACCTGCCCAACAAGAACCAGATGGGTAAGCACTGTCTGCCCCCGATCTACCCTTGGGGTGGGAGCAGGGAGGATCTGGGATGGAGTCAAGGCCCAGGGCCCCGTGGTGCTGGATGATGCTGTGGGTGGGTACAGGGCAGGGTGACACCCAACTGCAATGTTCTCCTGTGTCCCCAGTGTTCCCTGCTGGCATCCTGCAGCCCACGCTCTATGACCCCGAGTTCCCGCAGTGAGTGTGGGGCTGGGGGATGGCTGGGGGTTGCCATCTTGTGGGGTTACCCCATCCCTGCCAGCACCATGCTCTCCACCCTCTCACCTCTGTTCCCCACAAAACAGGTCACTGAACTATGGTGGGATTGGCACTATCATTGGGCACGAGCTGACCCATGGCTACGATGACTGGGGTGAGTGTCCCTCCTATATCCTGCCCGGATGTGAGGATGGGCTGAGGCAGCCAGGCAGGACACTTGGGTCCCTTGGGACTACTGGAGGTGGCGGCTGCCTCGACAGGGGGACAGTACGACCGGCACGGGAACCTGGTGCACTGGTGGACGGAGCGCTCGTACAGCAAGTTCCTGAAGAAGGCACAGTGCATCGTCAACCTCTACGACAACTTCACCGTCTACAACCAGAGGGTGAGACCCCCCGTCCTGCTGGGCAATGCCCAGCAGGGTACAGCTGTCTCACAGTGGGGTCCCTGCTGCCCCATCGCTTAGGGCTGGGTGTCTGCAGGAGAACTGACTCTGCCCTGCCCAGCCCTGGGACCCAACAATTCATCACACCTTAGCTGGAAAATTCCTCAGGGCTGCAGCAGCCTCAGTGCCAGCGCAGGGATGGGGACACCTCTGTTCATGCTGACATTTCTCCTCTCTTGGCAGGTGAATGGCAAACACACACTGGGGGAAAACATCGCTGACATGGGGGGGCTCAAACTCGCCTACTATGTAAGTGTCCCCCCGCCCCGGGTGTCACAGCCATGGGCAGCTGCTTCTGCCATCCCTGTTGAGTGGGAGGAGACCCCCCCAACCCCTCCTTACTCCCTGCTGCCAGGGGTGGACTCAATCCTGATTGCCGGTGGCTGGGGGCTTGGGGGGGTTCCAGGGTGGATTTGGGGAGTAGCCAGGCCATGCTGAGGGCATCCCTTGTTCTCCAGGCCTACCAGAAGTGGGTGCGGGAGCACGGCCCTGAGCACCCCCTGCACCATATGAAGTACACACATGACCAGCTCTTCTTCATCGCCTTTGCCCAGGTGAGCCTCTGTCCTCCTCACACGTAACAGCTTTGGGGCAGGAGGGTCACCTTGTGTGGGGCCAGCAGCCCAAAGGGATGGGGAGAGAGCCCTGCGGGCACAGGACCAATGGCCAGGAGCTGGGCTCGGCTGCATCAGCAGCTCCTGTGCTCAGGGTACAGAGCTCAGCCCTGAACGAGCACCCCACGCTGTCCTGCTGCTCCTGTGAACTCTACAATAATAAATTAGTGTGTCCCCCATGACTTCAGAAGCTCCACAGTAACAAATACATTTGATCCAAAAATTCTATGAAACCCTGCCACCAGGCAGCTTACAACCCCAGAGACCCTGCAATAACAAACATGACTCCATGCCCTCCCAACCCATTCAGACCATGTACACAGGCTCCTGGGAGACCCTAAAACAACAAATTCAATCAGGGCACAATTGCCCTCAATCCCCAGCAGCCAGAAGGGCCTTAGTGTCCTGGTGGTTGCCAGGACCCAGGCTGCCCCATGGGGCTTGTCTTTGTTCCCTGCAGAACTGGTGCATCAAGCGGAGATCCCAGTCCATCTACCTGCAGGTGCTGACAGACAAGCACGCCCCAGAGCACTACAGGTATGGGTGCTCCCAAAATGGGATGGGCTTGGGGCATGGTGGGTGCCAGCCTTCCCCACAGATGTCAATGCTATGCAAAGTGAGATGAGCATTCCTTTGGAGGGCTAGTGCCAGCAGAGCTTGGGTGACATTCCTGGGGCAGGGCTGGGGTGCTGCTGGGGTGACCACTTGCTGTGAGTGGGGTGTGAGGCAGCAGTGCCAGGGGGCAGGGAGTGCCCAGCTCTGAGCTCCTCCCATTTCCCCGGCAGGGTCCTGGGCAGTGTCTCGCAGTTTGAGGAGTTTGGACGGGTCTTCCACTGCCCCAAGAACTCGCCCATGAACCCAGTGCACAAGTGCTC